GGATAAGGAAATCAACACAAGCTTACTCTTACGCTGGCAAGAAGCTGGCAACCTATTTTTCAGGGACGTCGCTTTCCTTGTTATTGGCGAGGGACATACCGTGCCATAGCGTTGAGAACCTGCAATGCAATATAAAACGTGCTGTTATGTGTAGGCGGAATAAACGAAAAGTAACAGCCAAGAAACACAAGCAATAAATTTGCTTGCATATTAAATCAGATGTTAGGTGAGCCCCAGCTTTTACAACGAATTCTACTCATTGAACAATGCACCAGAGATTGCGCTAACTTACTCAGCCATTTCATGAATCGTATAAAAGTCGCATGCGTCCTATTTACATCCTTTATATAATGATTTAATTTTCCTCGCTGTATGCGCTGCGAGCAATCCCACGATTGAAACTTTGTACTAGGTAAAGTTTATTTGCTTAAGTCCACGCTGATGCTTAACGAGGGAGAAAAGATTTATTACTAAATAATGCTGAGATTGGGTTTTGTGAACCTCCCCCCGGAACCTACGCTTGTAAAGTATAGTTAGGAGTGACGAGTCAAATTTGGAAGTATCGTCTCTCAGCTTTAACCCTCTTGTGTAAGGCAAGTTTAGAAAACTTTCCATGCTTGACTTTTGCTCCATATCAAGAGGGAACGCTAACAAATATTTAGCAGTCATAAACATAACACCAAAAGGACGTTGTCCATTTATGGTGACTCTCGACGGCGAAGTTTGAGGATTGCTGTTTTCAGTCTTCAAGATAAATTTGAAATCAATACGGTTAGAGAAATACACGTTGATGTTCCCGTTCAACGTCTATGTTCCTGTATACGTTTATATTCGACGTGTATACTGTTGTTATGTGTAATATCAAGAGTGTTTGCCCCTCACAGCCATGACGGCGAGTCTCTTTTGTTGGCAGCTGGAGTCACGTAGCACGTAAACGTATTACGAGCAGCAAGTTGACCAATCAGTCCTCGCATGATATACTACCACGTGCGTTTCTTATTTTCACTTTTGCTTCATTCGGTTTTGGCCCACAAACCCTGCCAGGAATGCTCAGCGCAAACTGCGCCTCGTTGTTCGCGAACGGTTGGCGATCAATTGATTGATTGATATGTGAGGTTTAACGTCCCAAAACCACAATATGATTATGAGAGACGCCGTAGTGGAGGGCTCCGGAAATTTCGACCACCAGGGGTTCTTTAACGTGCACCCAAATCTGAGCCCACGGGCCTATACAGCATTTTCGCCTCCACCGAAAATGCAGCCGCCGCTGCCGCCGGGGTTCGATACCGTGACCTGCGGGTCAGCAGCCGAGTACCTTAGCCACTAGACCACCGCGGCAGGGGCCAAGGTTCGCGATGGCATTGTAGATCGTTCTGTGCGCGCAAAACGCGAGCACTCGAGATTAATCCAGAGCTTGCGCAACGATCATTGATGGCTGGAATATCCGACGGCACCTGTATAAATGCCGACACGCTTCGTCGCTTGTCAGTTGATCGACGGCCGACGCTCAGTTCCCCGATATCAAGTGTTAGTGTGAATTGCTGTTACCGAACTTTCCGTTTACTGGCTACAAGTTCGGTCTAATAAGCCGGTTTACAAGAGTGGAAGCTTGGGCTTGTTGGTGCGTAGGCATACTTGCAAGATTTTTTTCAGCGCGCTTTTTTACCTTCATGCTCTGTAATCAGCCTTTTTAGACGTATAAATTCTTGCCACTCCGTGAAATAAAGTTAGTTGGAAGTCAGCGCTCTTTCTGTCTACCCTGTCCTTTTTTCCTTTGTTCGCGCGCTGAAAAAAATCTTGCAAAGCCGGTTCATCTTAGGCATACCGGTTGCTTTCTTTATTAACGTCGCGGACCCCACGAAAACACTTAAGGCCTCAAATCTGCCGGAACGGGACACTCGCTATTAGAAAAACTCACTCCCTCACTCACTGACAAAGACATGATTAAATGGTTTGGATGGAACTACACTAGTTACCAGTGACAAATACTCTAAACAGATTTGGAAACGCTAAGATCTCGTAGGGTCTCTCTCTATGGTCATAATCATACAATACACCGCGTACACTACAGGGCAAGTACGTTTTCCAGCCAACTTCACTCCTCACGTGGGCTGACTAGAGCTTGCGACTGCAAAATTCCTGATCGCAGTCGCGTCATTTACTCCTCTGCAGTTCCCGATAATGGATTCCTTCTTTCGACAATCTACTTCGTACGATGTAATAGACCCCACGTTGCTCAATTCATCGTGTTTCCTTTCCGACTTTACTTCCTCATTATCTCGACCAAGCTATATGCGCTCGTTTGTACCCTTAATGCAGCACCATTAAGCAACGTAACGAGACACCATTTTTTCCACCCAAGCCTGTAGGCAGAAACTATTTTCGGGGTGTGCACTTGCCGAAGTTCTTGAGCCCTTGAACGTTTGGAGAAAAAATTTTTTTTGTTATTCATTTTCGCTAAAACATCCACATTAAAATTTCGTAAAGGGGGAGAGGGGGGAGTGCTGGACACCCTTTTTTTGTCAAAGGACCCGGTTCCACCTTTCTTTTCGTGGCCATTGCCAGTTCTCCGTCAACTTTCCCTGTCTTCACTGTAAAAACTCCCGACGAAGGAAACGTATAAAGCCAGGAGAAACACCGAAAAAAAACATCCGGAAAGACTCCTTTCAAGGATCGTGTTCACACAAACAACCGAGTCGAAAAGCCGAGGTTCGGACATCTTTTGTGGCGCGTATTTGACGCCCGAATCGTTCGCAAGTATGTGTCCTTCGCGTGACGCTATAGCGTCCGAGTCAGACGTGCGTGACCGTTCGACGCGTGTATCCGCCGTCCGCAAAATACGCTGCAGAGAAGAAAAGGCAGCGAAAAACAACTCCCATCCACCAGCGCAGCACGCGTAGGTTCTATCCGAGCGACGCATCGCAGGCGCGTCCCACCAGGCCGGCGCGGGGATTGAATAAAGGCATTCAGGCGTGTTCCGCTCTTGACGCTATTACACACACGTGGATACCCGTCTTTTCTTTCTATTTTTACTTGTTTTTCTTGTTTAAATGGTAAGCGACGTTTCACAATCCGGCGCATTGCCGCGGTTGCGAATCCGCGCCCATGTCTTCGCGCTCGCCACAGCGTGGAGAAGCGACGTGAGTGCTGCCAGTAGGAAGGCCAGCATACGAAAACGAAATCAAAGCATGCAAAAAAAGGAACAAGCAGTGCGACGCAACTGTGTAAGACAGCTAGCGAGCAGCCTGAAAGTAAAAGCGGCTCGCAAAGAAACACACAGCTCCAAGGCCGGACCTCGGCCAAGTCGTATACTTCTCGGAAGAAAGAAGAGGGCCTGTGCGGAGACGACAGCCGAGATAAAACGAAGAGACCACTCCTTGTTCTTCTCTCGTATTGTCTTTCTTTCCTCAACGGTGTTTTCTTTTCGTTCGCTCATTTTTGTTTTCTCTGTGTTTGTTTCAGGGCCAGGGCTGCCTTCCAGGCGGATAAGATGCATTTGTCCCTCCGCTTTTCGAGTTCTGACAGCCCGGCGAAAAACCCAGACCCTTGCGGCGAATTCTAATAGGAGTTTTAGAAGGATAGACTGCAAGTCAGAGCACGCAGGACTATTTCTCATTTAAGAAAACTGGCGACAAGAGATAGGTGAAGGCATAGGAGCTGGGCTGGGCAGTCTGCGTCCACTGTATTTCTTATTCTTTCATTCACGCACCTGAGCATGCCTTGAATAGGGGAACTACAATGCGATAAATCGGCGGCAGTTACAGAGCGTATTTGCAAGAAGATAGTACAAGAACAAATAACTGAAAAAAAAATGTTGTACAGAATAAGAAAAGAAAAAAAAAAGTACATCTATTCGAACACGTAGTTCGTACTGCGGAGCACATAATTCAACTGAACTACGTATGTTGGTTCGTGTGCTTGTATGTGCGCGTGCGTATACACACATGCAAAACTGAAAAAAATTCGGGATGTTAAACGACGCCTCCCCCTTCCCCCCCCCCCCCGCCTCACTGACTACGCCAGTGATTCAAGCAGTTCATGCGTGCTACCCTGTTATCGCAAAAGCATGATGTCATGTAGGTAAAGTTGAAAAAAGAAAGAGGGGGGAGTGGCAGATGAACGAGTTGATAATAAAGCTTTTCGTGCATCCCACTGGGACCGAGTGCCCAGTCACTGGGAGTGGTCACGGAGAACTCGAGCTGCGCAAGTCAAGACCCTCTTGAGAAAAACTTGTGCCGACGTTGCATTGACTATACATGAGGACACTTCACTGAAGGTCATGCACTGTATTCAAAAGCTTCCCGTAGGGGTTGGCTTTATCCATTACCTCATTTTTTTTTTCTGCTGCAAATAGCGGTAAGGATGCCTGAGAGTTACAGAAGTTGCAGTTTTTTTTTTCCTTGAAGACGTATCATCTCTGCTATCAAACACATCTAGTATGTCAGACCATTTAAAGAAGGAGGGCGTGTCATCAACAACAACCGTCGTGGCTACCAAAAAAAAAAAAACATAGCTACACGAGGCACTCAAAAGGAAGCCTTCGAAAGCATCGAAATTGCCGATCTCGAGAGCAAAAAGAAGGTCGCGCAGGCGGAGAGGCTCAGAGCAATTAAAGAAGAGACAGAGCTCAAGGAAGGTTGCGAAACGCTTCGTAACCATTACTGAAGAGCCGGTCGGGTCGACCAACAGTCAGGCTCATGCTATCTGGTGTCCCCAAAAACGACGTTCCAAACAGGACGCTGCTGCGAGAAGACGGAGCTTCCACTGTCAGGCCGCTGTCTCCAACGGCGAGGGCGTAGCTGGTACCCCACCCACCTGCGGGGCTCGTTGCGTGGACCAGCGCCCATGCGTGTCCGAGGGGGTGAGGATGGCGAATGTGCGGCAAAGAGGAGGAGGAGGAGGTCGAAACCGTTACCGGCTCCGACTCAACAACCCCCTCGCCTCGACGGTGGTTGTGGTGAAGTAAGCACTCGCGGCAGCTCCAAGAACGCGCTTGGCGCTCGAAACAATTGGACGTCTGCGGAGCCGGTGGCAGTAGGTGCCGGATGATCATCACACCGTGAGCTGTACCGGAGTTTGAAGCGGTGTAGCGGCAAGTCGAACCCATCCTTCGCGTTTAGTGTAGATAATTCTTCGTGCAGTTTGTGAGCCAGGCTTTACGGCCTGTTGCAAGTGGACAGCCTTTGGAAATCGGCGTTGGTACGAACTTTCTCGGAGGAACTTTTCCAAGTCGTCTCTGCGAGGTTGTCCCGCAGTCTTCTGGAGATCAGCCAAGCAGCTCAAAAGACCAGCCTTCACGCCTCGCAAAAAGTGCCGATTATGTTATTTCAAGCACGGTGGCGAAGTTGAAACTCCATTCGCAACTTTGTGCTCGTTACATGATTGAATTCCGCGTAGTCCGTTGAAGGTTCCTTAAACTCTGTACTCACCGAAAACTGGCCTGTGGAGTCACTAGCCCCGAGTTTTATTAAGCAAGGTGCTCTCTTACGACTCTGGTTCACTGGTCTCAAGCAGCAGTGTCTGCAAATTTCAAGGCCTTTTGCAAAAGACTGCTGAAGCACGCGACTTTCTTCGCTTCCTCAAGAAGTCACAACACGTGGTGTACCGCGGCCCGTATTTGCAGTCGAGAACACCTTCCAGAGCTGAATCACTTGTCGAGGAGGCCATATTCGCCTTCGTCACCCCAAAGCATGGCTCGACCAAATGTGTGGACGGCTGTGGCTGCAGCATGCATCATTGTCACCAGCTGTGAGTACACTATCGTTCAGACTCTTTCAACGAAGAAGTGTGGCAGCTTGGGCTAGTTGGTATGGCATGACGATAGTTATAGCGCGAGAACAAAACGACGACACAGAGACAAGAAGGACACGAAAGACACGAGCGCTCCTTCTTGTCTCTGTGTCGTCGTTTTGTTCTCGCGCTATAACTATCGTCTTTCAACGAGCGTACTCAATGTGATCAATATTAGTGACAAGTGAGGTTCATATTGTACGACTTTAATAGATCCGAAGGTATATTGCATTGCACTTGAAAGCCAAACACTCCATTCAACGGGAAGGCCATGATCTAGAGAGCAACAATGACAGATTTCACAAGTCCAAAAAAAAAAACGAATTAAATCAAATGACGAATGTACACGAATTCTAGCCTGGAATACCTTATGAACGCATTCGTAGGTTTACTTTACTGCGTGATACAGTGTAACAGCGACCTTAATTTGCAAGCGTGTGCACCACATCCCTTGGTATAAGGGTGTCGAACGCACTGAGAACGAATCCATTGTAGTTAACTGAGGCAGTGTAAAAAAAAAAAAAACTGGCACCCAGCGAACCACCGTTTTGCCTTCGGCTCATGTATCGAATGCTTAAACGACGCTCAACGCGACGAGAAAAGTACAAGTACTTTAACCTCGCTAGGACATTTGCTGGTGCATGTTCAATAACTTTTCTGTACATGCAACTAAGTTTGTCTCAACTACAAGTTTAGTAAGTATTAAGCTTTATTTTTTTTTATTGTAGCAGCAGCAGTGAGGAGATATCCAACATAACCGATATGTAGCATTACAATTTTTCACTCCAAGTGATAGAGAGGGAAAGGCTAAGTGAAAGGCAGGAAGGTTAACCAGAAAAATATATATATTGACGCGTGTGTACTGGTGGACCAAAACGACAATAAGGGGATTTGGCGGACACCAGGTAGTGGAGCTCTGGCTGATTAAAGATAAAGAAGGCGATCTTGCTGTTCGGCTGCTGAGAGTCGCTGTGTCAACGTTCATCTGCCTTTGGTTCGCGCTGCACCGCGACACTGGTGGAAGTGCTGGGACGCAACCCTACCTAATGCTCCATACTCCCACTGGGAGCCGTTCATCCAGCTCGGACGCATTGTGACCCATTGCAACTCCCGTGCACCGGTTCAGTCGGCGGCTGATAGGCCTCGCTCCAGAGTTCACGCCTTCTACGGAACCTCGCAAGTGCCGATTACCTCTCCAAATGGCCAACGCCAGTCCGCAACCGGCGCCCCAAGGCCCCCTGCCAACACAGCCTTCACAGGTAACCATCTTTCAACCGCTGGTTCCCTATCACTTTAGTGGCGGCGCCCATGAGGACGTGGACGACTGGCTTGAGCACTACGAGCGTGTCGCCAAGATTAATCTGTGGCCTGAACAAGAAAAGCTCTCGCGCGCCTATTTCTACCTTGACGGCGGTGCGAAAATTTGGTATGAAAACAGAGAAGCCAGTCTCTTAACTTGGGGCGACTTCCGACAACAGCTTGTCGATACGTTCACCAATGTCGATCGACGCGACCGTGCGCAGCAGCTGTTGGAGCTACGGGTTCAAAAACCCAATGAAAGCGTTACTATGTTTGCTGAAGATATGACTCGTCTTTATCGTCGAGCTGACCCGAACTTGAGCGAAGATAGGAAGTTGAGCTACCTCATGCGCGGCGTTAAGGAGCAACTTTTCGCCGGGCTACTGCGCCACCCTCCAAGTACCGTAGCTGACTTCATCAAGGAGGCTACGGCTATCGAGCGGGCGCTCCATCAACGATGCAGGCAGTATCATCGAATCTCTAGCAGCGACCTAATCAATGCTGCCGCCTTACCTGAGGATCAAAGCTCCCTGCGAGACCTCATTAGGGAAATAGTTCGCGAAGAACTTCAAAAGTTCCGGAATCCAGTTGCTCAAACCCCCGTTGCGTCCGTCGCTGAACTGGTACGCGACGAAATCCGCCACGCCTTTTCTACCGCTGGTCCTGGTGACGAGCACCGTCCCATGAGCTATGCCGATGCTCTGCGACGTTCACCATCTGGTACATCGCCGCCATATCACCCAGTGCCGACGGCCCCTTGGTCACCGCGGCAAGAGCAGACCCTGAGCCGACCGCCAAGCCAACCGACGTACCACCAGGCGTCCACAGCAGCACCATGGACATCGTCGCAAGAAGGGAGGCTCAGACGTCCACCGCTCCGAAGAACAGACGCATGGCGCACAATCGATCGACGTCCACTATGCTTTAACTGCGGAGGCGCAGGTCATATTGCCCGTCATTGCTGGCACCGCAATGATTCGTTCCGCCAGCTTCGAACATGGTCTGACGATCGACGTGCGAACGAAGAATACATACCACGCCGTGAGGACGCCTCTTTCCATGGAGCCCGTTCTCACTTTTACGAATACCGTACTTCTGACGAGGAGGCAATACCTACCCGCCATCCAGGTCTGGGACGTCAATCCCGCTCTCCTTCTCCCGCTCATTCACCTTCGTCACACCGACGTACCTCCACGGACCTTAACGCAAGAAGGTCACCCAGCCCGCGACGGGGAAACTGAGGGCGGCGACCTCCGGGGGTAAGGTTGCAGGCCACGAGGATGACGACGAAAAGCCCCCATTACACGACGCTTTAAATACGACAAGACGTGAGAGCGACGACATTGTGACCGCTGACCTGAGTGTTTTTCTTGACGGCCAGAAAGTAACAGCCTTAGTCGACACCGGTGCCGACTTTTCTATCATCAGTCAGGACCTCGCCATGCGCCTCAAAAAAGTGAAGACACCGTGGACAGGCCCTCAAATAAGGACGGCAGGTGGTCAGTTATTGATGCCCTCTGGGAGATGCACAGCGAGAATTGACATAGGAGGTTCTTCTTTTGTTGCGTCGTTCGTCGTTCTCGCCGCATGCTGCAAGGATCTAATTATTGGTATGGACTTCTTACGAGAGTACGGTGCCGTCATCAATATCCCAGACAGTTTGATTACATTCCGTAACAGTTCGGGCGCACCTGATTGTACACAAGCGCGACCAAACCAATTGCGTCTAACTGATGACGATGTGGTTCTCCCTCCACGGTCATGCACGCCTGTTTCTGTGGCAGCCGCTGTCCAGTTTGACAGCGAAAGAGTAGCAGACCGAATAACCTCGCTCCTCTTCACACACAGCATTTCCGTCGCAAGAGGTATCGTCAGTGTCGCCGCTGGACGCACGGACTTGCTTCTGACAAATTTTAGTGATGAGCGCCGGCACCTTCGAAAAGACATGGCCGTCGCTTACTTCGACGATATCACAGACGCAGAAGGCTGCTTGGCAGTAGTCGACGAGGCGCCAAAACTTGATTCGACACCAGTTCTTGACGTTAGCACTACTTTGCCTAAGAACGAGCGAAAGAGGCTTCTTGAGCTACTGGCCGAATTCAAAGACTGCTTTTCGACAACATCAAGAGTTGGCCGCACACCTCTAACCAAGCATCGGATAATTACCGAGGACATGGCGAGACCAATTCACCAAAACCCCTATCGCGTGGCTGCAAGGGAACGCGAAGTGATACAAGAGCAAGTCGACAAAATGCTGGAAGATGACGTCATTCAGCCCTCAAAAAGCCCCTGGGCGTCACCTGTAGTCCTCGTTAAAAAAAAGATGGCAGCCTGCGCTTCTGTGTAGATTACCGAAAACTCAATCAGGTGACAAAGAGAGATGTGTATCCACTCCCTCGTATAGATGACTCTCTCGACAGACTTTGACATGCTCGTTACTTTTCATCGATGGACCTAAGGAGTGGGTATTGGCAAATCGAGGTAGACCCAAGAGACCGCGAGAAGACTGCTTTTGTGACACCAGATGGCTTGTATGAATTTAAAGTCTTGCCCTTTGGTTTATGTTCAGCGCCTGCTACCTTTCAAAGACTTATGGATACCGTACTTTCTGGGTTGAAGTGGAAAACCTGCTTGGTCTACCTTGATGATGTCGTAGTTTTTGCCGCAACATTTGACCAGCACCTTAAAAGACTTGAGGCAGTTTTACAAGCCATACGGTCAGCGGGCTTGACGTTGAAGCCTGAAAAATGCCACTTTTGCTATGAAGAGCTGCAATTTCTTGGCCACGTTGTCAGTCACGCAGGCGTTCGTCCGGATCCTGGAAAGATCGCAGCTGTTGCACAGTTCCCGGTGCCGACTGATAAGAAGGCTGTCCGACGATTCCTCGGACTATGTGCGTATTATAGGCGATTCATCGCGGACTTCGCACGCATCGCATCACCGTTAACCCGCCTCACGAGAGAAGACGTTGCTTTCCAATGGAGCAACGAAAAGGAAGCTGCTTTTAACAACCTCCGCCAGCGACTACAGACGCCTCCAGTGCTTGCCCACTTTGATGAGAAAGCCCCAACGATGCTACACACGGATGCCAGCAATATTGGTTTGGGAGCTGTGCTTGTGCAGCTGCAAGAAGACACAGAAAGAGTAATCGCCTATGCAAGCCGAACACTAACACGCGCCGAGACTAATTACTCCACAACCGAGAAGGAATGCCTCGCCGTGGTATGGGCGGTCACAAAATTTCGCCCGTATTTATACGGCCGCCCTTTCAAAGTCATCAGCGACCACCACTCACTGTGTTGGTTGACAAATCTTAAAGATCCTACCGGGAGATTAGCGTGTTGGAGTCTCAGGCTGCAGGAGTACGACATGACTGTCGTACACAAGTCAGGAAAGCGCCACATGGACGCCGACTGTCTATCCCGCTCACCTATTCAATCGGCAACTCTTTCCGATGAGGATGAAACAGCATTTCTCGGTGTGCTTGACTCAACCGCTATTGCACAGCAACAACGTGGTGACCCTGAGTTACTTGCACTAATTAATTACCTGGAGGAAAGATCTCAGAAGGCACCAACTGTTTTCGTAAAAGCGTTGTCATCATTTTGCTTACGGAGTGGAGTGCTATACAAAAGAAACTTCTCTTCAACAGGATCTGC